GGGGGGGGGGGGGGGGGGTTCCGTTCTCCTTCCTGTCTTCTGGGAACGTCGGACTGATTTTAATCAGGGCACTTATATTCCACTTCTCAGCTCCCACGCCCATCGGAAGGGTCACCGTCTCCAATGTGACCAGCGCGGGCTTTCACGTGGCATGGGTGGCGGATCTTACCCTGCGCCCCACTTTCCAGCTCACCCTGATTTCTGCACGGACCCCCACTGTGCACCTGGAGAGCCGGAATGCAAGCTTGACACTGTCTGGCCTAGAGCCTGGTGTTTTGTACCTGGTGGAGATCGTGGCCAAAGCATGTGGAAAAGAAAGTGCCAGAGCCCACCTGAAAGTGAGGACAGGTAACAGGCTTCAGAATCGCTTTTGCCAGTGGTTCTTAAAGAAGGAGAAAAGGCATGAAAAGGATTTTTGGTGGGTTAAGGTTTAAAGTAGCTGCATGAACTTGTGGATGTTGGGATTCCGTTTTCCTCTCAGTGTAGGAGCGTCTGGCTCACTTAATACTCAGCTGGTGTTCAAAGGCCACACAGGAGGGGGCTTATTTCAGGGACAGGTGGTAGACAAAGAGGCTGCTTTGCAAAGCGCTCCAGACTCTGCAGAGGCTGCAGACGCTCGCTCATCTGGGTCCTCATGGGTACGTGGCAGGGAAATGGGTGCAGTGCTGGTCTATCCGTTTCCTGTGACCATCCTCGCTCCTTACAGACCTGGATTTGGCTTTCAGGAAGGATGATGATGGACAGATCTGTGAGTGCCCCCCTCCCCGCCCACTGAGCCTGGGGCCGCAGAGTACAAGGAGGGGAGTAGAATTGAGCAAGTGAAACGTAAGGTGGAGCTGATCCTTGTCGATAGTTATATATTCAGATAAAATTCCTCTTTTCTTGGGCTTCCCTGGTGGCGCAGTGGTTGAGAGTCCGCCTGCCGATGCAGCGAATGCGGGTTCGCGCCCCGGTCCGGGAAGATCGCACGTGCCGCGGAGCGGCTGGGCCCGTGAGCCATGGCCGCTGAGCCTGCGCGTCCGGAGCCTGTGCTCCGCAACGGGAGAGGCCACAGCAGTGAGAGGCCCGCGTACCAAAAAAAAAGAGAAAAATTCCTCTTTTCTCCTCATTAGCATTTGTCATCCACATATCTTCTTGAATGTCCAGCTTACCTGAACAGCCAAGGGCAGACCTGACGCTACAGATTAGTCCTCAAATCTTGGGCAACTAAGAGTTGATAACAGTGGTCTTCGAGATGGGGTGCACGTCCCTTGGGAGATGCCTAAGATGACCCATTGGGGAATGCCTAAGTCATAAACGTTTAGAACTTCATTTTATATGCTTGAAAATATGAATTAGCTGTGAACTGGGAAATTAGAGAGGAGATGTGGGTGAGGAAGGCAAGTGCAAGTTCACGGCAAGCTGGAGAAGTGGAGGTCGCTGCTGGCCGGACGGTCAGGCAGGGCAGCCCCGGAGGAGGGCTGGTGCTGCGCAGTCGTGTACATCTGCCATCTGGAGGTCTCACCCGTGCTTGGAGGGAGGAGTGTCCCGTGCGTCTGTGTGACCCCAGCCTGAGGTGGGTCCACCTCTGCTCTCACCTGTGCACCTTCGTGCTCCTGATGGCTTTTAGGTCAGGCCACACTCTCCAGTTGTTGCCATCCTCTCTGCAGGCAGGCAGGAGAGAGACGCAGGGGCTGAACTGGTTCCGTGGCCCCCGGAAGGGCCTCCCTCTGCGCCCAGCTTCTGTCCCATCGTCCTCTGGAGCTGGGGGCTGTGTCTGTGCGTACCAGGTGCTTGTTCCTTCTCTACAGAGTGCAAATCAGCCTCAGTTCGATGTTCTTCCTGGCCAACGTAAAAATACTATTATTAAGATAGAGATGATACTCTGCTACCTGATACCCCTGCAAACGTGTTTATTCTCCATCCTGCAGCGGCCCAGAAGCTCAGTGGAAAAGTCAGAATAGCAAACGTCAAGTATTTAGAATCCTTCCGCAACGCAAGCAGCAAGGAGTACCAGGCCTTCCTAGAGCTATTCTTTAGGATGGTAAGTTGGTGGAAGCGGTCCTTATTTTCTCTTGGGATGTGAAGGAGGGAGGTGGTAGCATCCTAGTGGCAGCCAAACGGGACCCAGACCTGAAGGTGCCATAGACTTCTCGTTTCTGAAGGAAGCTGGGACTTCCAGCTCTGGTGTGGTGCCTTTGTGTCCTGGATCTGCCATTAAACAGACACATCAGCAGGTGGGAGACACACCTTTTCCTCTGCTGCATCCTTACTTCACATTGTTTCCTGTTCAGTAAAACTTCTTTATTGATGCGGGACCCCGTAGAGCAGAAAGCCTCCCCCGGCCTTAAAAAGAAAAAAATTTAAAAATTGAGATCTATTTCACATAATGTAAAACTCTCGCTTTTAAAGTGCACGATTCAGTGGTTTAGACTGTATTTGCAGAATTGTGCAACCGTCACCACCAGCTAATTCCAGAAAGTTTTCATCCTCTCAGAAAGAAACCCATTAGCTCATCATCTGCCCTCCTCTCTGCCCCTGGAACCAGATACGTGCTTTCTGTCTCTATGGATTTGCCTGTTTTAGGTATTTCATAGAAATGGCATCATACAATATGTGATTTCTGTGTCTGGCTTACTTCACTGAGTATAATGTCTTCAAGGTTCATCCATGTTGTACCAACATCAGAACTTCATTCCTTTTTATGGCTGGATAGTATTCCACTGTATGGACAGACCACATTCTCTTTATCCATGATCCATTGATGAACATTTGGGTTACTTCCACTTTTGGGCTATTGTGAATAATGCCACTATGATCCGACCTTAAAAATTTTCTTTTTCCTACTCTTCCTTGCGGTGCCCTCCGCCAACCCACTGGCGTTCTTTGGGATGGTTTATTGTTACGATTTAGTTAGAGGAGCAAAATCTCAGTATTCTTTTTGCTGGTGGTTAGATTACCCTTTGATGAATAGAGAACGCACTTGTCATGATCTTGTTTGCATAGAGGACGTCTCATACAGTTTAGCTTTTCCTTGTTCTGGGGGTTTAAGACATAGACTAGAGAGAGCTCGGCAGCGCCACCTATTGGTGGAGTCATAACACGGTGGCGCCTTAGCACTGCGGGTGGCCGCGCTGTTTCGTGATTCCGTTCAATCCCATCAGCGTTCCCGATAAAAGTCATGCTGCCTCCAGGAACTGTCATACTGGGAATCCTCTGGATCTGGGATCCTGCTTGATTTATTCTGAGGATCTGAGGTCCTGCTTTATTTATTCTGAGGTCCCCAGCTTCTGGCCTAGTGTGTGGATTCAAGAGCTGTTGATGGTTTGATTTATATGTATATCAAATCTTCCTTAGGTTAAATGATAATTACACATCACATTAAACAACAATCACTGAAATCAGTTCACATAGCTCTGGTGGTCACATGAGGCAGCTTCACTGCTACCCCAAGTTCCTTGATTAATCTCTCCTTTTTAAAACTTTTCATCTTTTGCCTATTTAGGGGGACAGTTTTTGTCTGTCTAGAGTTTCAGGATAGCAAATAATTATGCAACTTAACACCTACGTAGGACATTAGGACACATTTTGGGAGGTTGTGGGTTAATGTGCCACTTTGTTCTTTGTCAGTTCCTAGCAAGGGGCCTGGAACTTCTCTTTGAGACTGGCTTGAGATGCAGATAAAAGTGATTTTAATCCAAGACTCTGGCAGACCCCTCTCTGGAAATCCCAGAGAGAAAGAGAGACAGAGAGAGAGAAGACCAACTCTTCCAATGATAAAGGTGGCAGCCATGTGACTGCAGGTGGCTCTGGGGTCTCCTGGGCATCTGCACCCTCTGATGGGTGACAACAGACTTGTTCACACTGGCTGTCCCAAGGCTGGGAATCCATGAGCCTGTGCCTTGAACCTCATGCAGTTCAGATGCAGACCAGGTTTTCTCTGTGAGGGCAAACCATGGAGGTGGGCTCTTCCATAGCACATTTGCATTATACGCACAACTTAAAGCTCATTACAAGATTGGATACCTTTCTGGGCATTTTGGCCATGATGGGCTAGAATGGAATAATATGGTGTGTGAGGTAGGATTCTGTCCAGATTGATGGAATAATGAACAAGGCTTTTAGAGGCAGGAACTACCTGTCTCACTAGGATGCCCACGGGGAAGCACTTTTTGGAAAGGCAGCAGGAAGAAAGGAAGGGGAAATGTTCTGCAGTATGCGGGCCACAAGCACTGTCCCGGGAAAAGTGGAGTCGGAGAGGTGGTGTCCCTCCCTAGGACCACTTGCTTAGCCCTGTCCTCCGGGGCTCTGAGCTAAGAGCAACAGATCCTAAATGCCGCTGTGAGCCCCCTACCAAGTTACAAGCCCCGTAGGGTGGGGCTTTGGCACTTAGCCCCATGTTGACCGGCTGGCTCTGGCTGGGGGACAGGGCTCCGTGTCTCAGACCCCACCGGCATTCGTGCTGGGCCTGGGGACTCTGCAGAACTCACCTGTGGCCTTGACATCGTTCCCAAGGCCAGCGCTGCTGCTGGCCGCAATCCCCAGAGGAGCCACCTTAGGACGAGGACCCTGTTTCCTCTCTCCACACGCGGTTCTTCTCACCAGACCTGTTTCTCTAAAGGTGCGGAATTCCTTGCCAGCCTCCATGCTTCAGCACCTGGACACAGGTGGGGTGCAGGTGGAAGTGACCCGCATCTCCAGCGGCAGCGTTGTGGTGGAGTTCAACTTGCTGGTCATCGCAGACGTGGATGTCCGGGAGGTGTCTGCCACGTTCCTGGCCGCCTTTCAGAATGCCTCTCTGCTGGAGGTGGTCGGAGGTGACCCCTTCATAGTGGGTAGGCAGAGGCTGGACCCCGAAGGAGGCTCGCTCTGCAAGGGAGAGGCAGTGAAATCCTAGCCACTGGCTTTGTTTCTGAAAGATGCACCTCCTCTTGACGGCTTCCCTGCATTAGATGAAAATGCGAAACAGATAGGACCCTCATCTCTCTTATTGCTCCTATGTTTTGTTTTTTTTTGTTTGTTTGTTTTGCGGTATGCGGGCCTCTCACTGTTGTGGTCTCTCCCGTTGCGGAGCACAGGCTCCGGAGGCGCAGGCCCAGCGGCCATGGCTCATGGGCTCAGCCGCTCCGCGGCACGTGGGATCCTCCCGGACTGAGCCACGAAGCCGTGTCCCCTGCATCGGCAGGCGGACTCCCAACCACTGCGCCACCAGGGAAGCCCATTTTTTTTTTTTTAAAAAAAGGTTTAAGGGTTGAAAAATCTTCTGGTGAACCTGCAACGATTGCCGGGGATGCTGCATCCTTTCTGCAGGCTGCATCCTGCCCCTCCCTCCTTTGCTGCTCTTTTGTGGGCTGAGGGCAGACAGGTCCCTCTCTGCTGGCAGACTTCCTCCCAAGCACAGTTTCCAAGGAAACTGTGGAAAATCCTAGGAAAAATAATTGAAAAGAAAAGCAGGGAGAAAAGGCAATTTAGAGTCTCTTCTCATATTGTATTAGTCAGCTGGAGTTGTAACAAAATACCACGGATGGAAACAACGGACATTTATTTTCTCACAGTTCTAGAGGCTGGGAGTCCAGAGATCAAGGTGCTGGCTGATTTTGGTGAGGGCCCGCTCCTGACGTGTAGGCGGCCACCCTCCTGCTGTGTCCTCACGTGGCCTTTCCTCTGTGTGTGTAGAGGGGGAGCGCTCTGCTGTCTCTTTTTATAAGGACATCAGTCCTGTCGGATCAGGGCCCCTCCCTAACAGCCTCAGTTAACCTTAATTATCTCCTGAAGGGCCCACCTGCAAATGCAGTCACACTTGGGGTCAAGGCCTCAACACACAGATTTTGAGGACACACAGTTCAGACCCTAGCACATAGCATGCCTGAGAAGAAACGATAAAAGACTTATAGTTATATGTATGGATAAAATCAAAGACAATATAGATGAATATTTTTCTGATCTTTGGAATGAGAAGGGTTAAGCCTGCAGAGGAAAAGCCTGGACTATCTGACTCTATAAAAAGTTAAAGCTCTCACTTCAAACAAAACAATCACCATTGTAAAGCAAGCAGTGAACCAAAAAGTAATTTCAACAATCTGATGAAGAATTATATCCTAAATAAAGAGCGATCACACACTTTGGTAATAAAATACTAAGAACCCAATAGACACAGGCACAAAAGACCCAAATAGACCATATGTGAAAGATGACTCCCACGCGACTAACAAAGATGGAAGAATCAAAGGCATTCCCATTACAATGAGTTACTCTTTTTTGCCCATCTACAAGGAATTTTTTTTTTTTTTTAAAGATAATCCTGATACTGAAGCAGCCCCTGCACACAGCGCTGGGAGAATAGGATTTGCTCACACTTCCTGGTATTTGTCAAGAGCTTTAAAATTGTTTTATCCACTTTGTTTTTTTTTTTTTTTACTTTGTATTTTTAAAAAATTTTTAGTGGAGTACAGTTGATGTACAATGTTGCGTTAGTTTCTGCTGTACAGCAAAGTGAATCAGTTATACACATACATATATCCACTCTTTTTTAGATTCTTTTCCCATATAGGTCATTACAGAGTATTGAGTAGAGTTCCCTGCGCTATGCAGTAGGTCCTTATTGGTTACCTATTTTATATCTAGTAGTGTGTATATGTCAATCCCAATCTCCCAATTCATCCCTTCCTTACCTCCTGGGAAACCATAAGTTTGTTTTTTACATCTGTGACTCTATTTCTGTTTTGTAAATAAGTTCACTTGTACCAATTTTTTAGATTCCACTGATAAGCTATATCATATATTTGTCTTTCTTCCTTAATGTTTTATCCTGCTTATTGCATGTAGCCCATGTATCATAGCACATATAGGACTCCATCCTAAGGAAACAGAACTCAGTGTGGACTATAGTTTACATGCCAAGATATTCATCTCAGTGCTACTTTAAAAGCAGAAGATTGGAAATAACCCACAGTCCCGTAATAGGGAAGATAGTAAGTCAATTTTGGTAATCCATGCCATGGACTGTCAGGCAATTATTAAAAATGAGGTTTGCTGAGATAGAAAATATTCCTGACCCAAGGAAATGGGATGGAAGCTGGACTCACATTTGTGTATAAAACGTGATCTTAGCTGCATTGCAGTCTGCCTTTCAAAAGGCTGGAAAGGAATACACCAACATGCAAACACTTACATCTGGGAGGTGGCCTCACGGGGGCATTTTATTTTCTTTGCTAAGCTGTCCTGGTTTTTATCCATTTTCTGCAGTAAAGCCACATTATGGTTCATAAGGTAAGTAACTGAGCTTAGAGATGAAAGCAAGTGTGTGCCGGGGTCCCTCTGCCTGATACCAGGGTCCAGGTGGGGCCCATTGGTCTCCTGGTCTCCAGGCAGCTGAGGGGATGCTGAGCTGCCTGCACCCTCCCCCCCTCCCATCCGCCCCCATCATCCTCCTTCCAGAACAGCCCCTGCAGACTTCCTGCCACCCGCCTCCCACCCCTATCCCCGGCAGAAAATCAGGGTACCACCCTGTCTTCCGAACCCTGCAGAACTGGCCATCTTTGCTATCATTTGATAATTTTAACCTCGGTTCCCGAGACGCAGGCTGCCTATAAACAGTGAGCAGAGCCGCGATGCCCAAGCCTCCTGTGAGGGTTTCCTGTCTTGTTTCCTAAACGCTGCAGATTACGATGAGTGCGACAGCGGGGAGGACGACTGCGCCCCGGGCTCCTCCTGCCGCAACAGCCTGGGGTCCTTCACCTGCAGCTGTGAGGGAGGCACCCCCGACCTCCCCGTGGAATATTCTGGAAGACCCTGCGAAGGTAATAGTCTCAGGATCCCTTGTCTGGAATACGCTCAGATAGTCTGTTCTTTGAAGGACATTCGTCCCCAAAGTGCATCTTTTCTAAACGAGATTGGCATATTTTTATGTCTTGGGCAAATTTCCGTGTGTGCGCGCACATGCAAGCACGCATGCGTGCGCACGTGCATGTGTGTACACATGTGTGCAATGCACACGTGCACAGTGCATGTGTGCACACACGTGCAGTGCATATGTGCCCACATGCATGTGTGTGCACATGTGCAATGCCTATGTGCACCATGCATGTGTGTGCACCGTGCATGTGTGTGCACATGTGTGTACACATGTGCACATGCCTGTGCCGCCCCATCCTTCCACATCCCTCCAGCCTTCTGGGTGGTGCCTCATCTCCAAGTGCTTCTTCTGATGCCCTTGATGAGAAAATATACACATCAACTCAGGTGTGTCCTCTCAGATGCTAAAAGATGATCTTGCAAAACATACAGTGTGTGTGACAAATGACACATGACATGGAAGCGTTTCTACTCAGACCCACTGTCCACGCAGCACTTTTCCCATTAAATGGGGTCTTTGTGGATTCACAAAGGCCCCTGCCATCCAGGGATCTGCGGTCAAGTAGAGGACACATGTTTATAGGAGTGAACACAGTGTCTGAAGGAATATGGAATATGCTCTACTTGAGGCAGAAGCAGGAGGCCCCGAGGAGACTAAGTTGTTTCAGTCCCGTGAGTGTGGTCAGGGAAGGCTTCCTGGAAGAGGTGTCTTCGAGCTAGTTTTAAAGGATGGCTCAGACGGCACCAGCAGAGGCGGCTGCGGTGGGGCAGGGTGTGGTGGGTGGGTGCAACAGTAAGGACAGAGCTGTTGAAGGCAAGCATGGTCCAGGCACGCAGCATGGGCTGGCTGCAGCGTGGTGCCTACAGGAGATGGGTGGGAGAGAGGGGGAGTACCCCGCCCAGCGAGGCCGGGTGAGGCCAGTCGAGAAGGCTGTGAACGCCATGAGCAGGGGTTTGGACTGCATCCTGGGGCCGGGGAGCCAGGTGAGCAGCACCTTGCGATGAGAGGGCAGGTGCCGGGGCGGCAGGCAGCAGAGCCGGGCCCTAGGGGAGGCTCAGGGAGGGCTGAGGCGTGTCCTGGGTCTGCCCTCCGAGGACGGTGGATGCTCTTACAGAGCCTCGTGTTCTTCTAGAGGTTGAAACCCAGCGTGCTTTAGGGAAGCAGGAAGCTGGAGTAGGAACAAGGGACGCAAGGATCCAGAGAGTGAACTTCATTAGCCCACTTTAGAGATAAGACTAAGGGGCCCCCAAGGGTGATGGCTGATCCTAAGCCCATGGGTTCAGCACACGCCCAATGTCAGCCTGGGAGAGTCTGGGAGGGCAGAGGACCCCTCAGTTCCCCAGCCACAGGGGCCACGGTGAACCAGGGCAGGCCCAGCTGCCTGGGCTGGCAGGAACGTGCAACACGCATGTGTGTGGCTCTGCTGGCACTTGTGACCCTGGGGTGCGCTGCTGCAGGGTGCGGAGTGGTCCGTCTGCTGTCTGCCCCTTGACCCGTCCCCGCCCTGTACCACGTCACTGGCCAGGCTCACATGGCTGTCCCGAAGCACAGACCCACCCTATGCCTTTGTCTCCTCGTGTCTTGCAGGCGACTCTCCTGGCAACACACCCCAGGCCACCGGCCCAGAGCAGCCCCCTACCCCAGCAGGACCTAGGGCTGCCTCTGTGCAGGGTGCCCACCCAGACCCCCAGGGCCTGTCCCCGCGGCTGAACCTGACCGGGGCCGTCAGGGTGCTCTGTGAGATTGAGAAGGTAGCCATCGCCATCCAGAAGCGCTTCCTGCAGCAGGAGTCCATCCCTGAATCCTCCCTGTACCTGGGCCACCCGTCCTGCAATGTCAGCGACCACAACAGCACGCACGTGATCCTGGTGGCCGCGTGGGGCGAGTGTGGAACCGTCATGCAGAGTGTGAGGCTGGGCTCAGACCCACCATGGGGCGCGGGGACGGGGCTCCGGGAGTCTGGATCTCGATCCGGGGAGGGTCCATGTGTGGCCTGGGGGGCCGGGAAGACCCTGCACCCCAAGGCCTCTAAGTGCAGGAGGACCCAGCCAAGGGTTAGAATAGGACCGAGCTCTCACCAGGGACCAGGCTGCACCCTGATGCAGGGATTCTGGTGGAAAGTCAGGGTTTACAAAGGCCTCCTAGTGATTTTGATGCACAGGTGGGATGGAGAGCCAGTGGGGCAGAAGAAAGGGCAGGAAAGCCGGGAGCCTGTGCATGAACGTGTGTGCCTGTGTACACGTGTGCACGCATATGAGAACATGTTCGTGTGCATGTGCATAGGTGAGTAAGCGTGTGTGTGCACACGTGCATGTGTATAAGAACGTGTCCATGTGCATGTATGTCGGCAAGCGTGTGTGTGTGTGTGTGTGTGTGTGTGCGAGTGTGTTTGTGAAGGATGTGTGAATGGTTGTGTGTGCCCATGCATTGGTGGGGATGCCTCCCCAGCGTGCTGGGGTGACTCTGGGCTGGGGGTCCTGGGCCCATGTCAGCATCTCTGGTTTGCAGCATCCATCACATGGTGGGCTGATGACTCCAGGTCCTGCGTCTTCAAATGCTGCCTCTAGGCCACAGTGACACTCCTGCACCCCTCACCCCTCATCCTTCCCGCTCCCCACGCTTGGCCACTGCTTTCAAGGCCACGCCAGGCAGATGGGCAGCACCTTCCATGGGTTCAGCCAGTGCTGGGCACGGGGGAAGCGGAAACAGCATCGGGCGGTGTTGTCCCTGGAGAGATGTGAGGTCCTGGCACAGGAGGTGCCATCACCCAGTAGAGCAGGGTGGGGCTGGGTTTCCTGGGCCTGGGGGGTGGGGGGAGGGGCCTTCTGGAAGGAGGCTGAAGTGGTCCCAAGGGGTGTACGGGGGGTGGACCACGACCCCAGGGGGCAAGTGCAGATAGCTGGATGAGGGAGGCCAGAAATGGGGGAGGATTTACAAGGTGGAGGGTGTCTGAGTGGCTCTGGGCCCTGGGTGGGACGGCGGCCTGAAGGGGAAGGGTCTCCTGTGGGAGGTGGGCTGGGGGAGGGTCTCAGCAGGGGCCCGACCATGGCACTGTGGGGAAGGTGGTCCTCATGGATGCTATGCTGCTGGGCTGGGCGGGGCCGGGGCTGAGGGTCTTCGGCTTTGCTTCCTAGCACAGGGGTGGAGAGGGAACAGGGCCTTGAGGACCCCAAGGACCTGCTGGCTGGGTGTCTAGCCCCCTCATCACCCCCAGGCCAGGTGTTGTCATCCACGTTTAACCAGTGGGACCTGGAGGCTCACCAAGGTCTATGGGGCCGGGGGTCAAGGTCAAGGTCTCCTGGCCTCAGAGAACCGGCCCTGAGGCCTCTGCAACTCTGCCTCTCCAGGGACCTCGATGGCACGGGGTGGGCAAGGGACCCTCACCCTCAGAGGCTCTGTTTGGAGCCCTGGGTGAGCTCCCTCATGGAGCAGGTGAGCCCAGGCACTGGATGGGCTAGGCTTGCTGATGACCCCAGGTCAAGGGCACAGGGAGGCGACATCGTAGGCTGAAAGGCTCAGAGCTGGCGTGGGCTTCAGTAGGAAGGGCCCTGGGGAGGGGAGGCAGGGAGACACAGTGGGAGACTTCTCGCAGAAGAGACCTGGGGAGGGCAGGCAGGGGACACGGGGCACAGGGGCAAAGGCAGCTCCAAGGTACCAGCCTGCCTGGAGGCCAGACCCAGGGCGAGGGCTGGCCAGGCAGCTGGAAGACCACGTGCACCTGTGGGCCCGGCTGGCCGCCCTCAGGCGTTATTCCACCTTCCCCTTGATGGGAGTGGGGTGGCCCTCAGACCCACACACAGGGCCACTGGGTTGACGGACCAACTGGGATGTTTCCAGTGACCACAGCCTTCGTCGGTCCCCCTCCAACCCCTCCAGCCAGAACAGCTGGGAAATAACCAGGGTTTGGCTTCTCTTTCTTAAAGATTCCTAAGACTCTCACCTGGAGGTGGGCGCACGGAGAGGCGGCGAGCAGCCACGGTTGGGGGTGCGGAGTGCGGGGGGCCGCAGCTTCTGGGCGACTTCAGTTCGGAGCCAGAGTTTGCACACAAGCTGGCGGGGGGCGGGCGCAGGTGTGGGCCGAGCTGCCGCTGTGGTTCTCAGGTCCACGTTGGTGCAGCACCTACAGACCTCAAGTGAAAGATGCTAGAAAATAAGACACTCTCGCCCGCAGTGCTCAGGTGCGATGGGCTGGCCAGGCTGCCCTCGGGGGAGTCAGCACCTCCTACACTGAGGCACAGACACAAGGCTGCGGGCATCGGCTTCCACTTGCTTGCTTTTCCGAGCTAGACAAACACCTGGTTTAGCAATTAAATTCAGTAAAATTCAGGGTCCTTTTAGAGCAGAGGGAAATTCATCTCTTACGCATCATCCAGGCCCTGGAAACCACAGGAGCTGTTCTGTGTATTGAAATTTGTCAAAAACTAAGATTCCCCCTGGAGACTTACTTATACAAATACAACAGATTATGTACGGTCAGCAGGTTCTTCCTCCTTTTTGGGGGGAAGGGGGTTAAATTTTATTGACCTCCTTGTTTTTTAAAAAAGTTAAATTTAAGGTTTCATCTCTCAGTTTAATGTACTATATACATCAAACTATGTTTCATACTATCTATGTTTACGTTAAATTTAAGGCCTCACCTCTCAGTTTGATATACCATATTCAGATGGTTTAGAGTATGACTAGGAAGAGAGAAATTAGCCCGTGCCCCAAAGAGTCACAAAGTGCAGAATCATCTTCATAAATACGCGTAAAATTCTCGTGAAGATAGCAGGGGACCGTCCACGTTTTCTGAGGCATTTTTCAAAGTGAGTCAAGGCACATAATGTCCACCACTGTGAGGACACATGTTCTAAACTTGGTGCCTCTAATACAGCCCATCCGAGATGTGGCTTCATGGCTATTGTAAAACTAAATGTGCTGAATGAGGGTCTGCTTCTGAGCTAAAGAAACCACAGGACCTGTAAACATCATGCAGATAATTAAAAATATGAGCTATGAACACAAGCACTTTATTTTAAAAAGCAAACAAAGAAGATAGCATCAATTCAAAAGTGTTTAAATGTTACCATTTTGGATCGTTCAGTTAAGAACCTATACACCTTTGTTCCCAGAAGCTAATGCATCAGGAGTCTCTACCAAGGAAAATGAATTCTAAAACTTATTATGACTGCCAATCATTCTAATTTCAGCATTTGTATAAAAACTTAGAGAGACTAATAATATCCAAAAGCTAAAGATTCTTTTTTAAAAAGTTTTTATTCCAGTTTTATTGAGATGTAATTGACATAGACTGTATAAGTTTCAGATATACAGCATGACGATTTGACTTAATACATCATGAAATGATTATTACAGTTTAAATGAACATCTGTCATCTCATATAGATACAAAATTAAAGAAATAGAAAAAAATATTTTCCTTGGGGTAAGAGCTCTGAGGATTTACCCGCTTCACCACTTTCATATATAAAGTACAGCAGTACTAATTACATTTATCATGTTGTACACGACATCACTAGGACTTCTTTATCTTGTAACTGGAAGTTTGTACCTTTTGACCACCTTCATCCAGTTCCCCCTCCCTCACTCCCTCCTCTGGTGACCACAAATCTGACCTCTTTTTCTGTGGGTTTGTTTGTTTGTTTCTGAAGTATAATTGACCTGCAACACTGTGTTAGTTCCTGTTACACAATATAGTGATTCATGTTTCTATGCATTTCAAACTGATCACCACGGTAAGTCTAGCTCCGATATATCACCATACAAAGATATTACACGATTATTGACTATATTCCCCACACTGTACATTTCATGCCCATGACTCATTTATTTTGTAACTAGAAGTTTTTACCTCTTAATCTCCCTCACCTATTTCTCTCATCCTCCCCCCCTTCCCTCTGGCAGCCACCTGTTCTCTGTATCTATAACTGTTTCAGTTTTGTTATGTTTGTTCATTTGTTTTTTTTTTTTTTTTTAGATTCCACATATAAGGGGTAACATACAGTATTTGTCTTTTTCTGTCTGACTTATTTCACTTAGCATAATACCCTCTAGGTCCATCCATGTTGCTACAAATGGCAAGATTTCATTCTTTTATATGGCTGAGTAGTATTCCATTATATATATATGTATGTATAAATATGTATATATTTCAGATCCTTTGCCCATTTTTTAATTGGGTTGTTTGTTTTTTGATGTTGAGTTATATGTGTTCTTTGTATGTTTTGGATATTAATCCCTTATCAGATATATTATTTGCAAATATCTTCTCCCATTCAGTAGGTGGCCTTTTTTGTTTTGTTGATAGTTTCCTTCATTGTGCAAGTTTTAGTTTATGTAGTACCATTTGTTTATTTTTGCTTTTGTTTCCCTTGCCTGAGGAGACCTATCAAAAAAATATTACTAAGACTGATGTCAAAGAGCATACTGCCTATGTTTTCTTCTAGAAGTTTTATTGTTTCAGGTCTTACATTTAAGTCTGTAATCCATTTTGAATTTATTTTTGTGCATGGTGTGAGTGAGAAGTCCAGTTTGATTCTTTTGCAGGTAGCTGTCCAGTTTTCCCAACACCATTAATTGGAGAAGCTGACTTTTCCCTATTGTATATTTTTGCCTCCTTTCTTGTAGATTAATTGTCCATATAAGTGTAGGTTGATTCCTGGGCTCTCTGTTCTGTTCCATTGATCTGTGTCTGTTTTGTGCCAGTACCATGCTATTTTGATTACTGTAGCTCTGTAGTATAGTCTAAAGCCAGGAAGTGTGATACTTCCAGCTTTGTTCTTCTTTCTAAAGATTTTTTTGTCTATTTGGGGTCTTTCGTGTTTCCATACCAATTTTAGAATTTTTTTGTTCTAGTTCTGTGGAAAATGCCATTGGTATTTTGACAAGGATTGCACTGAATCTGTAGATTGCCCTGGGTGGCATGGTCATTTTAACAATCTTAATTCTTCCAATCCATTAATACAGTATATCTGTCCACCTATTTGTGTTGTCTTCAGTTTCTTTCATCAGTGTCTTACAGTTTTCTGAGTACAAGTCTTTTTACCTCCTTAGTTAGAGTTATTCCTAGGTATTTTATTTTTTTGATGTGATTGTAAATGAGGTTCTTTTCTCTTTCTGATAGTTTGTTGTTAGTGTACAGAAATGCAACAGATTTCTATATATTAGTTTTGTTTCTGCAACTTTACCAAATTCATTGATGAGTTTTTTTGGTGGTGTCTTTAGGATTTTTTATGTATGGTATCATGTTATCTTCAAACAGTGACAGTTTTTTTGTTTGTTTGTTTTAACGAGAGCCCTGGGTCACACAGCTGTCTTCTTGCTATAACCTCACATGGCAGAAGGGATAAGGGAGTTCTCTGGGGTCTCTTTTGTAAGGGCACTAATCACCCCCAAAGGCCCTACCTCCGAATACTATCACACTGGGGATTAGGTTTCAACAGACAGGTTTTATGGGGACACAAACATTGGGTCAACCCAGCAGGAAGCTTGCAGGACAAAACAGCCATTCCTTTATATGTCCTCATCCTTTTAGCCCTGAAGCAGCCTGCCCTGGGAAGGGCATGATCTCAGGTGAGGCTGACCCTGAAGAAGCTGACAGTTGGAGACCCTCTTCTGAGTGCACAGCTCACAGCTGGGCAGCAAGTCTTTCCTTGAAGAGGGATCTGAATGGGACATCTCTGTGTCTACCAGAGTCTACCTCTTGAACAGTGACAGTTTTACTTCTTTCTTTCCAATTTGGATTCCTTTTACTTCTTTTTCTTTCCTGATTGCCGTGGCTGGGACTTCCAATACTATGTTGAATAAAAGTGGTGACAGTGAGCATCCTTGTCTTATTCCTGACCTTAGAAGAAATGCTTTTAGCTTTTCACCATTGAGTATGATGTTCAAGAGCCATAGACTCTTTGATGTAAACAACTTTATCAGTTTGTCCAGGTCTGTTTAGTATGCACACAAGGAAAATGCACTTGTCCTATAATTTCTTAAAAAACAGCAAGTAAGGAGTAGATGCAGTAGCTGTAGAAAGAAAGAGAATCAAAAAGTCCTTCTGTTCAGGGACTTTCAGATCATTGGAGAGCAGACAATTCCCTTCCTGCTCCTCCAGGCTTTGCCCTACAGACGATGTTTTGTTCTCAGACCCACTCATGTCAAGGCTTATTTGGCCATTAGATTTCTCGTCTGTCAGATGCACAGGTTCCATTAGCATTGTTAGTGTCAAAATTTCTATTTTCAGCAAACGCTCTACTGGCAACCTTATCGGGATTAGACCCTTTGTCATATAGCTCATACTCTGCTTTGCTCTTTCATCCTCCAAGAAGTCCAATAACTTCTATTTTACTTGGCTGTGTATTTCTACAAACTCTAATCCACACTTCTTTACTGGCATAATTTTCAACCATGCCTCTTGTTTCCTCTTCATTCGATGGCTCTGATTTACCTATTTCACACAAAATTCCCCTTGTCTAGTTCTAAACTGTTAAGGCCAGCGACTTTAACAGAAGCAGGGCAATGCCCACTACCAGTCGTTATGCATAGTAAGCATTACAACCGCAGGTCATCTAGGCTGTCCTTGACTGGCCCTTCGCTCTGTTCGTCTAGTGACACTTTTGGAGATGTCAGTAAGGGGTGTTGATCTTGCAGAGGCCACCACCAGGACAGTTAAACTCCAAGCCACTAGCAAGTAAAGCACTTCAAATGGGTAGTTACAACTTCAGGCCATTTTGTCAAACAAAGTGTTTAGCTTCAGTATAATGGTGGCAATTTTCACAGACATTTTAATCTCTTCCTACAATGCTCTCCACTGAATCAAATGATGAAATTGCCCATCCCAGGGTCTTCATCACTATTTTTGGCTCTGGAGAAATTTTGGAGTTCTCTTTGATGTTGGCAAGCCCATCTCCTTGTACTGGTATAAAACTGCCTGAAAATCTTCTCTTTTTCCTGATAAACGTTCACATTCTGAGTATCCAGTCTCTAATACCAGCTGACCCTGGCACCATTTCTCTAGCATGAAACTGATTAGCTCTGCACTTTTTTTTTAATGGCCTTAACCTCATTAACGCTAACGGGCATCACAATTCTCCCTGGAGACTTGTGTCCACAGGCATGAGCTGTGTTGTCATTTCACACCCCTGAGTCCTCTTCTAGACCACATTCATTGTCTTTACCCTCTGGACCCTTGGTTCTGTGTTAGTGTCCCTAGAATTAGAAAGAATGCAGTTTGATGAGTCGCAGACTTTAACCGATTTATTTTAACTCGAATTCTTTGGTGAGGGCTTGCTCTCTAATCTTCAGAAGTGTACTTGGGGATTATTTGGGGAAGACTCTAATCTATTGTTTGGGGTATCGTCTGATCTAGTTTGTCTCTGGTTCTCTTTTTTTTTTTTTTTTTTTTTTTGCGGTACGCAGGCCTTTCACTGTTGTGGCCTCTCCCGTTGCGAGGCACAGGCTCCGGACACGCAGGCTCAGCGGCCATGGCTCACGGGCCCAGCCGCTCCGTGGCATGTGGGATCTTCCCGGACTGGGG